ATACATAAATGCTGTATATAGTACAGGAAAAAAGGAAGAAAACTATTTAGATAGCCATGAAAAGTTCTCTTCCTCTATAAGAAATAGAAGTACTATGTTTAAATGGTTTTCAGAAATCCAGGTACTTTTACAGTCCTGGAAATCACAGGATAATACAGTTTCTGTTCCTAGACAGGAGTGTGAATCTCTGTGAGATATTTTTTCCAAGGTATAAAATCCTTGATTATACAAAAGCTAAGACTTCTCCATTCCACAGGGACAGGCATTTTATCCCCAAAATTTAGAAGCTCCCTGCACCCCATGGCACCGTTGCCCTTGACCACCATAGAAACCTGGTGCTTTGGAAGATTTGCTCCAGTTGAAAGGTAGAGAGGCCTTTCTAAATATGCCTTCCTCTGAGCTTGGTAAGACTGAATGAGTGCTAGGCCCTGGGAAAATTGCATCTTGAAAATCTGATGTGGAACTTTTTTACTCTAACCTTCTCTCAGCACAGCTTTTGCTATTTTGTATTATTTATATTGCTTTTGGGGACATTGCTTGATATTTATGCACAGAAGTTCAGCAGTGCCATGAGTGAATTGTTACATTCTTTTCAATAAATGAAAATAAAGACCTGAAAATCTCAGTTTACAAAGCTTGAGTTCCATTAAAATGTAATTACCTCCCTTTTGTGCCTTATACATTAAGACTGGTTCAAATGGTGTGTGGCTCCTGCTCAACTGAATTACTTTCATTTGCTGCTTGCATAGTAAGAATGAGATTCTGGAATAAAGATGACTGTTTAAAGAGGACTGCTGCAATTCCAAATTGCATAGAGAAAGTTCTGCTAATCAAATTAACTTGTTTACTCACTAAGAACCTGACTGGAATTTTTGTTACTGGTCATCTTGGGCCCACAGAAAGTGGGTCTGTTGCTAATCCATGACCAGTTTTTAATCCTGTGAATAATTCTAAGTCTTGTGACTATTAGTAGGGTTATTCTGGTGATGAAGGATTAGATAATCCAGTGCCTGTGCATTGACACACTTTGCTCCTACAGGGCTGTTTGGTTTTGATCTTGCTGGAAGTGCACTGGTTCCAGAGGGGAGCAGAGTGGCTGTGCACTGCTTGGATGTTGCACACTGCAGGGACTACCAGGGATTTGGAATTTGCTCTCTGCACGTGCCCTGCTCCAGGATATTTAGCCTGGCTTAGCAGGTCCCTGAACTGACCAAAATCTGCTCTTCTGAAATCCAGGATTTTCATCCTTCTTTCTGCTTTGCTTGTGCCTCTCTGGACTCTGAATTCTACCATAGATAGCTCATAAAGATATCACCAACTGGTGTCTGGCACAAGTGGGCCACCTAACTTGAAAGCAAATAGGGCAGTGAGTAGATTTAGATTCAAATTCTGTGTGGGCTGGTGTGAACCTGAGTTTTTACCATAGTGTGTCTCTATATTTTTGGTAGTGCTTGTCTGCAGCAAACACATTCCCTGAAGGCAAAGGACAGCTGGTGCACAGCTCTGTGGCTCTGCCTGTGGAAATACCGCACTCAATGGGGTGGGTGAGGTGAAGGAGGCTGCTGTAGGCCCAAAGCTCCTGAAAATGGCAGGGTTCTGCTCAGAATAGTCCCTGCTTATTGGGCAGCCTTTCCTGCTCCCCTCTGGCTCAGGGGTGAGTGTTGCTGGGGTCACACTGCTTTGCAGTGCCAGTGAGATGTGGAGTCAGCTTTGTGGCTTCTCCATTAAAAAGGCTGTCTCAGTGGGCTCTGCTTAGTCACTGTAATTTCTGATGGGGCCATGTTAAGATGCCTGGTAGGAAATGGCTGAACTGAAGGCTTTAACATCCAGTCTGTGCTAACCTGAATTGAATTTTGATAATTTTCCTGTATGGAACAGGAAACTGAAGGGGACTGTTGGACAGTGTACCAGGAGATCTTCCCCTAGCTTAACTGGCAAATGGCTATGGCTGATGCTGGAGTTTGGGACTGATGAGCTGGCAGATAACTCTCATTGTTTGAACTTGTCAGCCTTTTGAGCATGGTGATTTCAGTCATTCCTGGTTACTCTGGGGAGGGTAGCACTGGCAAGGTCATCAGGGTTATGTGGTTCCCAGTGTGGCTGTGACCCAGCAGCTTGTCATAAAAGTAGAAATCGTAGCGTAGGGTGAACAGAGGTGAGGACAATAAAAGCCTGAATGACACAAATGCAAAGAGTATGAAGAGAAATGAAAAAACATGAGCAAAGTGCATCTTAAAGCAACTTTATACATTGTTAGCCATGGACATACCATAGCCTGATCATAATCAAAACAGGTAGAGTATAGCTGTGAACAGACTTGTGAATGAACATATGAACATCAACATTTTCATGGGTCAGCACATGGATATTGGTGTCTGTGGTGGGAATTATAAAAGAACTTAAAGGCTGAGAAATATTTGGGTAGTTTCCTTTTTTATTTTTTTTTAAATATTCCCACAATTGTGTGTGTTCATGTCATTTCATGGAGCAAATATGCTGTGCATCAATCCAGATTACCTGTCTGAAAGACGAAGCTGTGGTGGTGTGAGTACTTTTAATGAGGGAGGAATTCCATCTGGCTCATGTCAGTTTTACTCGGCTGAGGCCCAGAGCTGAGTCACTTGTCTTTGGAGGTAGATGGTTTTGGCAGTTTGGATGATGTGCAAATTACCACAAGGAAGACAAAGGGGAAGAATTGAGAAAGGAAGAGATGTGGACCCACAGGCATTAAGTACAAATAGATGAACAGTGGGTTGTCTGGTACCGCAGGTCAATGAGGATGGGGAGCCAGTGCATTCACGTGACTCCAGACCACAGTCTTCTCCTGGACTCTTCTGCAGAGTCCTGCTGGCAGTCTGCCTGCATTTATATGTCTCCTTTGCTCTTAGTAAATGTGGTTCAAGTCTGTATAGTGCCCTGCTGCTTGTGCTGGGTCTAAATAAGTGTTGCAGATTCCAGTGCTGGTCTGATTGATAAAATGCCACTGTTTCTTTCAGAGAAAGTGGTGTTGTGTGGGGAATAAAAAGTATGAGGGAGAGTGAAATCAATACAGAATCCAGGAGGGTCAGTCTTAGAGAGAGGCAAAATCAGAGGAAGTGGAGGATGTGGGTAAAAGAGATTGAGGGGGGGGATACAGGAAATTTGCAGGGGTGGAGGAAAAGCTGTAACTGAAAGCAAATTAGATACTAAGCCAATGAAAGATTACTTTTTCTAATGACAGGTTATGAAATATTGTCAGATTCTGTGAATAGCTCCAGACTACAGACATTCAGATGCACATGCAAGCACACATATACGTTCAAAAGCAGGGGGGAAAAATTAGTTTTCAATTAAAAAAATTTACTTTTTCTTCTAAATTATCTCTTTGAGATTAAATTATTATTATCCCTTTGAAATTTAAGCAAAGTTTTTAAGGGAAAGAGATTTTAGAGCAGGTTATATGACTAAACAAGTATTTTAGTTTGCTTTGACTAAAGGATTATTGGAAGTAATTTTTGTTTTGTTGTAACAGGTGAAGAAAAAAAATGTTGGTTTGAAACACTAGGAAAAAGCAAAAACAACAAAATGTGGTAGCCTAAATTTGCCTTCTGCTGAAGGTACCTGGCCCTATCCATACCTGAAAGAAGTTGGTGTAGATGCCTTGGCTTTAATGAAAACAAGCTGTTTTTACCACAACTGGTGATTCCTAGATTATGTTATGTAAATGAGTCAGAGGGCAAAGAATATTTAAAAATAACAATTCCACCTTAAGGGCTAAGTGCTCTTCTTCTCATTCAAGGTGATAGTTGTTATTTAAACAGAGGTGGTGTTCATGGCAACAGGATTGCCAGAGTTCAAGAAGTCCTTGGACAGCCCTCTCAGGCAACATGGTGTGATTTTTTGGGTGGTCCTCTGCAGGGCCAGGAGTTGGACTCAGTGATCCTTCTGGATCCCTTCTAACTCATCATATTCTATGATTCTATGATAGTTTTGCTTGGTTTGGTTAATGATATCCAGGTTTAGGCAAACCTGGGTCTGCTTGCTTGCTGTTCTGGTTCCAGGAAAGATGCTTCACAGAAGCTTTGTTTCCATCTCTCTGTGGTACCTGTTGTTCTGGTTTGTGCTGGTATCAATAGGGATTCACTCATGTTCCCAGTGAGAGCTGTTATTTTCCCCATTACAAGGTGACATGTGACACAAGAGTACCTAATCCTCTTAATTTGCTTTAATTTCCAAGGTTCCTGTGAATTTCCTTTATCTGTCGAATACCACGCTACCCTAGAGTACAGTGAAAGTTTCTGCAGGTGGTAGCACAAGATGCAAATTTTTACTTGTGCCTTCCCATCTTTCCCTTGTGTACCCCAAATTAATTAGAGAAGCAGGTGCTCCTTATTCCTTTGCTCATCCCATCAGTCTAAGCTGGCTGGGCAGGCTGTGCTCCCAGGACCCCAGACCAAGATCCCATTGCCTCCCTTGCTTCCCGAGTGGACATAGGTGTCTCTCCCAGGGGAACGGGGAAGGGTTGGCAGTGGAGGAGCTGGAGAAACAAGAGCGCTTTCTCCTCATGCTCTGGAGCTGCTCACACATTCAGAGAAAGCCAAAGGCTCACAATGAGACAGAAAGGAGGCAGGGGAAGGGTATATGTGTGGGTTGTGTGTGCAATGCTTTCTTCCCACTCTCCACTGAGCCATGACCCGGTTTCTCCAGGAGATGCCTGCTGTTTTCTTATTTTCCAAGCAAGTTCCTGAGACAATGCTTTGCATGCCAAACAGGGTCAGCCCCTCACATAGGGAGGGTTCTGAACTGAACATGCAATTCCCTCTCCATCTTCTCTACTGCCTCAACTTTCCTGTTATTTTTCTTCTTTTCCTTCTCTTTTCCCTTTCTTTGTTCAAAATGAGGAGACAATTCTCATGTGCATGGAGAGGAAAAAAAAAGGGGAACTTCCACGGGTTGTTACATGAAATTTATTGCAGTGCCTGCTAGACACTAATTTTTTATTGTTTTTGTTATCTTGACAGAATCCAAGAAGAAGAAAAAGGAAGGCAAGAAACAAGAGAAGATGCTGGATTAATGGAGTCAACCTGGGCAATGTGAGAAAGGGACATCAGAAAACATGATTAGTTAACAGTTTCATTTATACCTAGGCATCTTATCCTAAAATTATTTATAGCTTAATGGTACCATAGAAGGAAAAAAGCAAACACACAAAAAAATCACTTTTTTTTTTATATTACTTTAGTATTTTTAATGTATAACCCTAACAACAACTTTTAGAGGCCTGTAATAAAGGACTCCAAACTCATTTAGAAAATTATTGTATATTGAAAATGTAGAGGTTTTTAATTTTTTTTTTCTAAAGTCTTGCCATAGGTCTCAGTCTGGTAGTACATGCAAGCAGAACCTGAGCCTGTGTGGGGCTCTGCTGAAGCCAGTGGTACCCTGTGTGAACATAGCACTCTGGCTGGATGCATTTATATTTAAGATTGGGACCTTATATCTGAAAAGTTGAGTCCTGTTTCTTAATATCTGATTACATCTGCATAATTGTATGAAACTGTTTGTTTAAGGAAAGGATGGGGGCATTTTGTTGAGTATTTACAAGTATGGGATTTTCTTGGGTGTGTGCTTAATGCTCATTCCAAAATGTCACCATCTACAGGTAAAAACCAGTAACACTCCTTTCCTTAACCATATTTTGAATGTTGGCAGTAAATCTAAAATCTTTCAACAACTGGACATAAAAGAGTCCTATTTTTTCATGATTTCCTAGCAATGGTTTTTCAAAGTGGAATGACGACAAAACTTTCCACTTTTCAGCATATCAGTGTTGGTGGATGGTGGTGTCCTCCATTTCACCTATCAAAGCTGAAAAATGCTGTATTTTATTTGTTCATTTTGACAGAAGGGGGAAAATAATTTTCATAAAAGATCTAGTTGAAATTGTTGTGATTCTGCCTAACCCGGCTCTCTTTTGTATCAGTGGCAAAATTCCTGTTGATCTTAATTATAGCTGGTTAAAAACCAGGATGTCTGGTGGGAAATAAAAGAGAAATCTGTTTGAAAACCACCAGAGGTAGTTCATATTTTTGACCAAAAAGGGGACAATTTGCGGGACCTGAAACAAAGAGGAATGAAATAATTTTTTGTTTATCTTTCAGTAAAACAGAAGGGAAATACAAAGCAAGTATTTTTTGCTTTCTTCCACTTTTATATAAGCAAAAACCCTTGGGAAAAGCTCAGTCAACATAAAATTAGTTGTGATTTTTTTTTTTAATATAGTCTGCAGGGGAAAAAAAAGAGAAAAATTACAACCAGCTGTTTTTCAGTTTGTTCAGTTTTACCTGATTTAAATGATTCTGAATCCTAAGGGAAGTCACAAAGTAGAAAAAAGATCTGACAAATGGCTGGTCTGTCTCAAAGTAAAGGGCTGTTTAACAAGCTGACAACAAGTAGACCAAAATTTTTAGAGGAAACATAAGGGATTTCAGTGCCCAGATAAAGTTCAAAATCAGACTTCAGAATTCTAAATGCTAATATTCAGCAGCAAGAAATAAGCTTTGCTGCTTGTGTGGGCTGCAAGCTTGCCTGCTGGTCAAGAGAAGCAGTCTCCCCTGTACTCCTGCATGGTACCCACTCACTTCAGTGAAGCTGCAGCTGGCTGTGTTCATCTGAGTAAATCACATTTCTCTCTTGGGATTAGCCTGTAGACAAGCAGAGTCTTTTTCTTTTCATACTAACATCACTCCCCTTTTCTATGAGAAAGAATTGTAACAACTGTAGAGCTTACCCTCTTTTTTCTCATGCGGAGGGTACGGCTGATCTGGACTCACAGTGAGGCAAGTCCTTCTGTTCCCAAACACTCCTGAAGCCTCCTAGCCAAGGCTGCACATAGCTTAAAGTTGACTAGCCTCACAATTTCCCAGACTCCTTGGGTGTGTTTTGCCGTCTGTGTTGATGTCCTTGTTATTTTGACCATGCTGTTAGACATACCTGAGTCTGTGGTATAGTTAAAAGTGTCCCCCACACATGGTGGAGGTGCAATGACCAAATCTAAATCATAAAGGCTCATATTTAGGTGGTTCTGGGTGCTATTTGGTTTGTTCATGGTCTAATCAGGTCTACCTGTGCTTGTGCCTCAGACTTAAACTAATGGTTTGGTAGGTCTGGTTGAAAGCAAAGGGAGAAGGAAACTTTTTTTCACTCACCAAAGGTTTGTCTGTCTACATGCTGCATCAGTTCACTTGAAGTGGCTCAACTTTGAGTGCCAACACTGTTGCACCATTGTCTCACACTGGTTAATCTAGTCCATGTTTCATAGGGAGCTGGCAGGAACTGGGAATGATGCTGAGATCAACACTTTGATTGTTGTTTAGCAAATCTTAGATGTGACTTCTTATTTCCACCTCAGTGAGTATAAAGAAAATAAATTCCCCTGTGTTTCCTCTGATGCCTCGTGGTCCTTTTGTTTAACTGCCCATCTGGCTTGTTAAAGGAACATTCCTAATAGATTTTGAAGGAAGCCAGTCAGGTTCCTGTGGTGGCATAGAGCCTTCATGGAGAGAGTTTACAGAAAACAAGGATACAAAACAAAAAATATCATGTTAGGACCAGAAGAAAATTCAGCAAAGGGTGTGAAATAGGAGAACATTTCTTATGTATGACTTGTCCACATATGTTCATATCTATATTGGCATCTTATTGTTGACAGCAATTAGAGTAATAGTTTACAAGCTTAGAATGAAAAAAATTTCCGATAAGCCAGAAGAAAACATTCAGTGGAATGTCTAGCTATGCAAGAGATGATAAAGTAATTTATGACAGAACACAGAGGAAGATTGAATAGGTCAGTCAGGTCAGCTCTAAAAGGAGGCTCCCAGTACCTAAAAGGAGCCCTTGTTTCACTAGTGACATTATCAAAAAAGCAAAAGGCAACATTCTGAACAAAACCTCTTCCCACTCATCTTGATCAGTTTCTACTTCAGTCATTCTGAAACTTCTCCATATTTGCTTTCTAATCTTCTACCCTCCCTGCTTTAGGAGGGCAAGCTGGTCTGACAGTGCTGTGGGAGCAGCTACTTCAGATGAAAACCGTGTTTACCCTCTTGGTGCTATCCTATCACAATGAAAAATCACTTAGCATAGATGTGTTGCTTACCTAGTTTAATGGACAGAAATTTGTTTCATGAATGTCCCTCTCGAGGAGTGGTTTACATCTTCATTTGCTACAGCTGTAATGGAGTATGGGGGGGTGATAAAAAACCCCCAAATGACAGCCTTTTTCTGAGTGTTCAGATCTATTATAAAAGAGATGGGTGAGTTGCTGAACATCAGCTATGGATGAATCTGCATCCAGATTTTGGATTCCAGTGAGTTTAAACCTGAATATATTTGGGTTTATCTCCCTTCTCTTTAACTAAGCTGAGGCAATGCTGCTTTCAGTTAGGCCTGTCTATATCTTGATTTAAAACAGTATTTGAGGACTGGGACATTTTCTGACTTAGACTGGTCTTCTGACAGAAATGTCCAGGTCAGCCTGGCCTATTTAGAAGTCTGTTAAGTGCAGCAAAACTTCTGGGCAAGGCTCCAGGAAGGGAAAATGTTTGTTGTACATGCAGGTAGATACTAAATTGTAATTTACTGATTTTCATCTTCTAATTCCATAATGACATTCTGGGCTGAACTGCTTTTCAAAGGAGAAAGTTAGAAGAAATGAAAGAATAACAATTACAAAATGCATGCAGGCAGCTTTGGAGAGTCGGTTAAGAAAAGAGAGATAGGAAATCAGGAGCATTTTATACAAATTTTTATTCCCTGTTCCTTACATGCAAAAGGCAGAAGTCCTGGTTGGCACATTTGTTTTTTTATGCTTTCCCTGATTTGTGCCTTAATGAAAATGAATCAAATGTAAAGTGTTACAGAGAAGTAAAGTCCCACTTCAGCCTCAAAAGAAAGTGTTCAAGTGCAGACAAAGTCAAAAGGAGACAATAGTATACAGGCTAATGTCAATGTTGAGGGTGGGACAACGACCTAATTTTCCCTCAAGTCTAGGAACTGCAGCAACATTAACAATGTAAACTCACCACTTTTCTAACGCAATATATTGGTGAGGTGGACACCATTTTGATATCCCACAGCAGTGGGATTTCATGTTTCCACATGAAAAATGTCTCCCAAATCATCCAGAAGGGATGCAGTATGTCAGTGGGGGGAGGTGTATTGTATTCAGTCCATTTTAATTCTCTAGGGCAGCACTTCTCTGAAGCTGAGACTGAGTTCTCTCCTTTGCAGAGACAGATTATACCTGTTGCCTGCCTTCCCACACTTCTCCATAATTTTGATAGCATTTATTCTGTCAATTCTGCTAAAGCACTCTTCTTCTCAGTTAAACTTCTGTGGAAGTTGATGATCTTTCCTCATCCTTGAGACTATATTCTCCATGTCTTCCTGGATTGTTGCAAAACAGCCCCAGGAAGCCCATACCACACATTTCCTCCAACTGTGTCCTTCTGAAATTAAAAGATGCAGTAGCAACTTTTTAATCACTGTATGACAGTGAACAAGGAAGTATGATAATGAGCAAAGAAAGAGAGTCCCTGGATTCACTAGGAGAATGGATTGCTGGTGAAACTTTCCTCATAACTTGACCACAATTGTCATGGCTCCCAGGGGACAGAAATGATCAAATGATCATCTCAAAAATTAGAGACATTGATGCAGGAGTGTCTGTCTTCAAACAAAAAAACACAGAAAACAGAAAACCACCTTAACTAGACAAATAGCGACAAGCAGCTGTATCCTTTACCACTGTCCTCTTTTATTATCAAGTTATTGTGGTGCATAGAGTTTCAGGGATAGTGAAAGACTTGCCTGAGCAGGTATGGAGCATGAAGAGAGCCTCTTCCACCCATGGAGAAGATGTAGGTAATCTCATTCATAGGAGCATCAAACTTTGCTTTTGGACCAAAACTAAACAATGCTGAAATCGAATAATTTTCCTAATGGCCCCTTTCTGCCACTCTTCACAAATGACTGTCTGTCTTGTGGCCTCATCACTCTGAACTGAGCAAGAATCTGAGAAAGCATGAGAATTCAGCTATATTCAGCTATTATCTCATTGGTGGGATTGTACAATCCTTTAGCCCTTTCTGCAGTTTGCCATTTAAATTTGGATGTCTTGGAGTCCCAGATAGGTAAAGAACTCTGTAAGTATCTCCTAGCCTTTAAACCACTTGGCTTTGAGTGAGTTGTATATATATAAGCTCTACCTACAGATTTGACTCCTTTCTTAAAAAACCCATGATAACAAACAAAACCCGCAACAAAACTGAAAACACGTCCAAAGAGTGGATTTATTGATGAGCTAAAAACGGAGATGCAGAAGTATTCCCATTGCAGAAGATCACTGAAAGTTGCAGAAGATCATTGAAAGTTAAAGACTGTACAAAACCTTTAACCCTGAATTCAGTGATGGAAAGCTAGGAAAGTGGGCAGCCTCTGCAGGGCTGTTTTATCCACAGACAGTTTAATTCAATTAATTTTGCTGTTTGAACTCCCTCGCTCTATTCTATCTGGCAACAAGACATTATTTAACTTTTCTTATTATCATTCATTGCACTCCCCATATTACAATCATGTAGTTCATCTAGACTTTCACAGCTGGAGGAAATGGCTGTGATAGTCCAGAGTGTGTTGTGGTTGCTGAGGTGGCCTGAAGCAGAGACAGGCTGCAGCTTGGAGCTAGAATCCACCTAATGCAGATGTCAGCATCAGACACAGCAGCTCTCTAAATACACACACATGCATACTGCATATATATATATATACACACTATATATACTTTCATACATAGGGGAAAACTCTAGAAAGGTGCATGCATAACTCTAAATGTGAATCATGACCATTGCTGCCACATTTTCAGGCTGCGGTTGAAATGAAAGAGCTTTTTTCCCTGAGCTGTTGTTTAAGTGAGGATACACAAGTAGGATGAAGAGCTAGATTTCTTCCCACTTGCCAGCACTTCAGTTTAAGGATAGCTGTGTCCAAGGGAAATGCAAAACACATGCCAATGTCATGGCCAAAAGGACTTACTATCACAGTGATGTTCTCTTCTGTCACACCAAGTACACACAAGGGCTTTGCTCAAAGCTTTGAAGTGGACGAACTGCTTCAGTTAATTGTGAACAAATAAACACAGACAGGAAAAGTCTTTTTCTCTGCCAATAAACAGTGAGGAAAATGGGTAAAATAAGATGGAAAAGTAACAGTAAGAGAGAAATCATATTAATTCTTGTAGTTTGAGTGGTAAACCGAAAGGAGAAATTAAAGTCAAAATAACAAAGCCTGAATATCATGTTCAATGGATTTCTAATTCTGTATATATCTATTAAACCAGTGCTATATGATATCTTCTTATGGGTTATTTTCTTTTCCTGTTCCTTTTCCTTTTTTTTTTCCAGTTTGTATATTGATTTTGTAAGCTAGCAGTGTGTTACCCTTTCAATTTTTTAAAACTTGTATGAAAGCCATATATCCATATTGTAGAACGAAAGAATTAATCCTGTAACATCCCTTGATATTTCCTTTAGCTCTGTGGGATTTTGGGGGGCTCTAGCAAATGTATATGTTTACCAATTGTATCAGCGTAATTTACTTGCTCTTAGTGGCGATAAAGAATTAAATAAACTAATACACAGACGCATGGTGTTCTCATTTGGTTGTGGAAACGGTTTCTGGTGTTTCTTAAATTAATTCTAAGTATATAATGGTATCTCTTTATTATACTAGTTTTTTTTTGGCTGTAAGTGGGGCTTGTCACATGAACAGATCTGTAAATTCTGAAAAAGTTTTAGTCTGTAGGAAAGAGGTCTGCCAGAAAGTGAATCTAGCAGGAAACATTTCTTTGATTTGTGCCCACTAAAGCCTGTCTGTCCCAATTTCCTGGCACTTTTCAGTTATTTTAAGCAGCTTGTTTCAGTATACAGTTATTTCAACCTGTGTGACATTGACACAATGATGGATTACAGATGAAGAGTTTGATTTTTTTAAAAATTACACTATCAGGTATGCAGTGGTAAGCCCTCATTCCCAGCCTTGTCATGCTCACCTGTTTAACAGTAACTTTAATGTGTGTGTGTGTGTTTGGTGAGAAGTGATTAAGACTCAAGAGTAGAAAAAAGAAACTGCATTCCAATTTCTCTGAGTGGTTTTTTCTGTGTCCAACTATTAGTTAAAATCTTAGAATAATTAATTAATTACTCCATGAAAACCTTTCCATCAGTCACTGCCAAAAGAGGGAGATGCTTCACATTTTTTACAAGACAAGAAGATTGATATAGGCTTCTAAAATTGTTTGGAAGAAAAATAAGTATTGTAAGGTATAAAAACTGACAGTACATTCTTCAAAGCACTAATGGACTCAAAAACCTAAATCCTATCCTTGGAAAGGAGACCAAGTACTCACTATTGTTTAATTACAAAAGAAAAATGTTAATTCCTTTTTAATATGCTGCTTGGAAGTTAGTTACAATTTTAGCTTACAGGGTAGTGAGAGAGTTTTAAGATGCTCTTGTACTTCCATGTGAGGAAGTACTGATCCTGTCAGTAAATGTGAGCTGCTCGAGGACTGTGTCAAGTCATGCTTAGCTTCCCTAAGCTTCATCATGCTGGAGACACAGTTCTGGATTTCTTGTGTCCTTCCCACCTCTGTCCTCAGATACTGACTGACCTATAAACATGGAACAGAGCTTTTACAACCATTCTTTTCGGTTGGGTTGCTTTCCTGGAACAGGGTCTTAGGACCTTTTTGGTTTGTTATGTATGGATTAGATGAATGGAGAGGACTTCATGTAGAAGAGACCCAAGTTCTGCTACCACTTTGTGCTCCAAACTTTTGGGAATGGTGTTTCGTTAGGTGGGTCTGTATGGAAGGAGGACCACCAGAGGTGAGTGGGGTGAGATGTCTGCAGGCAAGTATCTACTAGCAGCACAAAGCCTCTTTGAGACCTTTAAGACCCCAGAGCTGATCTGGTGCACTACTACAGCTGAAGTTCAAAGCCTTTTTGCACTTCATCATCCCTCTGCCCTTGCACGGGATAGACTTGTGATTAAAACTCAAATACATGATAGTCGCCCTCACACAGAACAGAGACACACTCACTTCATCCCTTGCCTTGCAAAATTACCTCCTCTTGTTCAGGATGAAACTTTCTCACAAAGTAGTAATCCAGGTTTTTGTCCTTTATTTTTTATGGTGATGTGGGAATTTGCCTACATGAGATTCTCTGTTTTTCTTAGTTAGCTGGTACTAATTTTCTCCAGTGAAACCCAAATGGAAGAAAAAAGCCCTGTAATCTTGTAGTAAAACACAATTCTATTATAAAATCTTCACTGGGAGCATTTCTGAAGAAAGATTATTACATTTATGGTCAAATGAGATTTGACATTAAATATAAATATGCATACACACAGAGACTATCTTTTACAGATAAATATCTCCATTCTTGCTGGGTACCCTGAGTTACAGAAGGCTTTGTTGCTACACAATCATCACTGAAATTATTGTCTCCATTGGCAAAGAATGTTTTTTGTTTGTGTTTATTTAGTCTCTGCTTTCTTAGTTAACACTTTTCACTTACTGCTTCACACCATTTCTACCACAGGAGCAAAAGATGAAATCTTGGATCTGAAAAGGTCAGTAACAATTTTTTTTTGTTCTGTTTGACTACATAAAGCCTTGCAAGACCAAAACAAACCCAGAAAATCTGTCTTAAAAAGATTATTTTCAGTTAATCAACAGCTGTTTAAGAATTTTTATTACTGGTGTTTATTACTGGATTTTCTGGAGGCAGAGTAAGAGAAAAGTGTTTTATGTTGGGAATGGAGGAAAAGCAAAGGTCTTTCCATAATGATAATTCACTTTCATACCCTTCCATTTTGAGATACAGACTTTTTCCCCCCCAGATATAAAATTTTAAAACCTTAGTGTTCCTAATAAAAGCATTCTGCACCTGTATAATTATGTGGGGGCTTTCTGGCTGAAAGCTTTTTTATTACATTGATTTTTAAAATTTTTATGACTCATTACAGTTCACTAGAGATGCTCCTGGGATCTAGATGTTCAACCTTGGTCAAGTGCAGTGGGTGCTGCTTCAGGGTGCACAGTGGGGCTCAGTAGGATGAAGTGGCTGCCCAGGGATGTGCTTGATGCCGTAGGAATCTCCAGCTGGAAGGGTGAACCAGCTTCCAATTCCTCCTCAAAGCATTTGTGGTGCAGGTAGTTGCCAAAGAGATGTAACACAAGGCAATATTATCCTATTGTTTTCTCCTTCCTTTCTTTTATTTCTTGCTTGTTTGCTTTCTTTGTTTCCTCCACTTTTTCCTTGGGCTTAGGACTCACACTGCTGACCTGGAATTTAGAAGTGATTACCTGAGAAGAAACGTGTCCATAATGTCTGCAATTACATGGAGTCACTGTTGTAAATAGTCTTAAAACTTCTGTGGGGCTAGAAGATATGGGAAGAAATTCTGGGAAGAAGTGGGTTTGAAAAGTGGGAATAGAATCCCTGGCATAAAGATCAACACAACAGAAAACGGTATGTGTATTAGAAAAAGACACAAGAAAGGACACAGACTGGGGCACTGAAGAAACCTGTCACAAATATAGGTTTGCCTGGGTGGTTGCTGGAACTGGCTGCAAGGTAAGCCAAGAATATCTGACATATAAAAATATATAGGTCATACATATATCTATATCTATATCTATATGCACACACACACACACACACACACACATTTAGTATATCTGACAAGAGATACTAAAAAGGATTTATGTTGAATTCAGGACCTGATTTTGGATATATTCCAAACATTAACTGGCCCATTTTCAGCATGGAAAATTGTGTTGAGACTCATGATATAATATGCAATGATCCTAAAATACGTAATATCTCAGTCCTGTAACAATTTACATGAGTGCTGTGCATGTAGTCCTACTGACTCAACAGGACACTTCCCAGTGCCAAAAGGGGTGGCAACTCCTTAGCTGGGAATGAAGTGCCACGTTTGTTCTCTTTGCTTCTGTCCTCCTTTGCTGACAGGGGTCCATCACGCCCCCTCTGTACCTGAGTGTCTCAGAGACAAAACATACACTCCCTCTGATAAACACTGTTTTGTAAGTAGCTGAATTTGAACTGGGCCTGGGTTATCACAATTGCTACTTGCTGTCTTATCAGGAAAGCTCCCTAAATAAGCTACTGCTCTATCTGCTCACATGCAAAAGAAAAAGACCAGTCAATTTTTTTTCAGTGCAGGGTGCCCTGCAACCTTTCACATAAGGGTCGCAATAAACTGGTACAACAGAGTAAGAAAAAGGCAATGGAAAAGGCATCCCCCTTCCTACTTTGTAGCATTTATGCTACAGGTCTATAGAGACTTCATCAAGGGAGATGAAAAATAGTCTAATCTTAAATCCAGAAATATACTTGCGGTTGTTATTAGCAGCAATTACAAAACTGTGTAACAGCCATTATTGTGACTTATGCTGCAGTTTAGTGATACACTCTCAGTTAACAGTTAACACCTTTGATTCAGAGATTTTCATGCAGTTTGGGAGTGCTCAGCACCCACCACCCCTGTGGGTGGGGTCAGAGGTTAATCTCAGAGGCTGTCCTTAAGCTCCCTCTGTAGTCAATGGAGTATGACAAGTCCATTCAGAAGGTGATTTAGACTAGAGGGCTAGTTTAGCAAATCTGAAAGATGTCACAAAGGGCCCCTTTCCTTGCTAGATGCTGAGGGAGCTTAGGGAAATGAAGTGTATGAGGATGACTGGGGTTTTGCTTGGTCGTTTGCCCTTCCAAAAAGGTTGCAAGCTGCTAAACTGGAAGGCAACACTTCAAAAGTGTTTAGGAATTTAAAAACTAAAATATCTTAACAACTCTGAATACAGGGACTCAAATGTGTAAAAGGCAAGTGGACTACAGCCATGTATTATGTGAGTGAATTTATCTGAAGTCCCAGCGCAAAACTTCCCTGCCAGATGGAAGGACTGCCCACACAGCACAGCTGGGAGGGACCAGAGAGTGTGAGAGAGGTGATAGTGGAGAGCTCACTGCTCCTCCTTGGCCCTGGTGTTGGTATGGAGGAGAGGGGAGACAAAGTCCCTGCTTTTGTTCCCTTTTCCCCAGTGGAGGGAGGGAGGGAAGCTGAGCCGTGCCCCTGGCGAGCTCCGGGCGCTTTGTGGCACACATCAGGTGCGAGGGGAGCTCCTGTCCCCGGGTGAATGCGAGGCTGGGCGCGGATACCCCACTCCTTTCATGGCCCCCTGGGAACCAGGGCAAAGCCGCATTTCTCAACAGCAGGCCAGGAATTCCTGGAAACAAGTGAGCACAGGAAGGGGCCATGGAGGGAGAATGGGGATGGTTTGGGAATGGCTCTGCACGACCACTCCTTATCTCACTTTTCCCCCTGACAGATTTAGGGCTTCATCCCACAAGGCGATCAGCATCTCCTGAGAGACCTCAAACCAGTACCTTAAGTACTTTTCTCTGTCAAAAGCTCATCTGAACACCTTTTAAATTCTTCAGTTGCAAGGGGCTACATAAACTTAAACACAATTATCCTGGCACCCACAGGCCCCTCTTCTGCACACCCCAGTTCCTCACTTGCTCTCTGTTTGAGGTGGGTGAACTGTCACCACC